TCATGATCTGTCGCTGCAGCTTTACCTTCCCATCCCGTCTGTTTGAGAGACTTCCATCCTTTAAATGTCCCGGGGTCAATATCAAATCATTTTCTCTCCTGCAGCAGTGTGAGCCCTGTTCATTTCATTGCCACTCTAGGCCATCATGTCAGCCCCACGACTCCAGCACATAGTTTAGTTCCACCCCATTAGGGTGCTGTTTCAGAGGGCCATACATACCGGTTATAGTCATGAAGAGTTAATCATGCATAACCACATTTCCTCTGTGCTAAATTGCTAATTAATTTGATTCATTTGCTGTTGTACTCTCTCTGTTTAAATGCCATCGCTGTGGCCTCAATTTATCGAGCTTGCAAGCGTTTCAGAGAGCGGCCGTGTGCAGAGCATTGTGACTCACCGCAGCCCCCCCACCCCGCCCCAAAGCTTGTCCGCTCATTTTTACAAGCTTTTAAAGTACAACACTCTGTCCCGGTGTCACCTCTAACTGCACACAGTGCATCCACTCAGCTACATACGACCTTTAAAGATACTTCTCCTCTTTGCTGATGGATTTCTGAATGATGTTTTTTCATTTCTTTTTTTTTTTTCCCTTTGTGTTTGTCTTTGCAGGACTCATCTCTCCTGGAGTGTCTGTCCCTGTCCAAGTCCCAGGGAGCGAGCCTGACATGTCTCAGTACTGGTCAAGACTACAGTAGAGAGAAGAGCTACTTCACCCTGTAAGCACCCACTCCACCATCGCCCTCCGGCAGTGCTCCTCACAAATAAACGGCACAGGAAAGAAAGGGGGGAAAAATGGCACGAGAGGGTTGAGGAAGAGGCAACAGCCAGGAGAGGAAAGAACGAAAGGGACTCTGGGAGAGCCTTGGGACGTCTGGGTTTTGTTTCCCCCCGCTGGGACAGTGTGCTGTTGTGTAGCTCTAGGCACATTCAAACGAGGACTTGGAAGAGAGAGACCAACAGTGGAGAGAGACAGAAAAAAACATATGGACCTCTGTAAAGTGCCCGGTGTTACATTTTTATGGAACAAAAACTTATCCGTTCTTTTTCTATTTCCAACTTCAGTCATTGTTTCCCTTTTTTTCTCTGATGTGTTTGTAAATGGCCATTTGTATGTTAATATGAAAAAAAGAAAAAACAAGATCAAGTACTGATAGACGGACTGCTAGAAAACCATGTTGGTTTTTTCTTTCTTTCTTTTTTTTTTTTTTTTTGCTAAAGGAGAAGTTGAGAGAATCTGCCATGACTATCTTTTAATCTGCTTATATCGAGACTTTCTACCAGCCTTTTGCATGGTCTCTGGACGCATATCATTAAAGACGAAAAAAGCTGGAGGGAAGATTCTTACTGTGACAGGAAAAAAAAAAGAATAAGAAAAAACTATTTATTGGTCCTATTTGTTTGCGAATGGATATTCGGTGGAGGAAAACTCCAAGTCGATCCACCCACTGAGGCCGCGGCGGTCTCGGCCTCTGATGCAAGGCCCTGCATTTATTAGATTGGGAATCCTATCAACAGCTCCAAGCGTGCAAAAGACGGCACAGCTTGCAACACAAGTTGGACCTCCTGCTTCTGTGGTTGGATTGATTCTTTAGATTACCACCGAGAACATTACGCGTGGAAAACAGGTGCAGCAAGACCCCCCTTCCGCCCCCCTCCACGCCGCCCTTCCCCCCAAACACCTGTATTCTGTAAATGGTTGACTGCGTCTTCGATATAATCCAGTTTGTTAATGTCCAAATGTAAAGTACTTGTCTTCCCTTTTTTTCGGAAATCTTCCAGAAAGATTTCTCCAATAAAAGTCAATTTCAGTTTTACATTCCCAAGAATATTCTATAAATGTTCCATGCATCATGAAATACATTTCTTTAGGGTCAGGTACAATTTGTCTCTTAGGTATAGTTGTAATATAGTGTCCTATGGTCATAAAAAAAAAATGTGCAACTAGAAATATTTAATTCCTATAATTATGATTAAACATTGCTTGACAGAGTTTTAAACTTAAGTGTTTGGCAGTTGTTTACAAGTACATATCAGATCTAATCATTGTTGATTGTAAAACAGACCAAAGCCTTTGTATTTCATCTAGAACACAATGTTTCTTTCTTTTTTTTTTTTAAAGATATTAGTTTTGTGTTGCAAAATTTTGTAAGCACATTTTGTTCAACTACATTGGCTTCGAAGACTGCAGTCGAACAGTCCTTATTTATAATTAAAGACCATGGGATGGGTTTTATTTTTTTTTTGTTTTCTTTTCTAGCATCATCTGTCACCATGCTCTTTTTTGAGTTTTGCATTTTTGTTTCAGTGTGTACGTAGAACATGGACACATACCGGGGTTTAAGTCTGAGCTTTGCTTCTGAGATAAAACACGCTGTCTCTTAAATATTTCAATTTAATTTTATTTAAAATGGAGCTTTCTAAATGTATTTTGTGAAAACTATAAAACATTTTGTACAGTAAAAAAAAAAGTGTCTTAAAGAAAGCCTTTTTTTAAAAAGAAATTATTTTTGGCGTCCATTTTGAAGCATGAATCATTCCTGCATTTATAAATAATTCCTAGCGAGGCAGCTTGTTATACACACTGCAACATTTCAAACTCTCACCAAAGCAAAGGTGTCCAGAATAACAAACCTCTCCTGATGTATGGGGGCTGAGCAGAGTCGACACAGACCACACAACAAAACACCACCACACAATGAGAAAGGTCAAGCAATTCACCAACCCTGGCTCTTGTTTTAGTGGAGTTACGGTGGTATGGCAAAAATACAGAGAAGGAGGCAGAGGGGAGAGACAGACAGAGAGACAGAGAAAGAGAGAGAGGGGTGCGGGGGGAGGGGAAAAAAAAGTTGGGAAATAAAGCAGTCAGAGCCTAGAGCGAGGAATAGGAGCGATTGTGTGGCAGAGTGAGTTATTTTGCTTCACTTGCTGCCTCAGCAGGGGGGGTTATGTGTGTGTATGTGTGGAGAGTCCATCTCTATAAGGCAAAGATACTCAGGAGAGGAGCGAGGTCAGGTAACACACAGCAATCTGGAGCGCCAAATGTCCCACTAAAGCGATTCTTTGAATTTACACGTCTCGCCCAGTATTTAATAGTCCAATCAGAAGTTGGAGGATTGGAGGTTAATCAGATTTTCTAGATGATTCCCTCCTCTGCCCCACCCTCAGAATGCTATTTCTTTATTCATTAAATGCACTTTATCTCAAAAATGGAGGAGCGGTTTGTTCAAGGTGGAGAGAGTGAGAGAGAAGAAAAGGCAGAGCAGAATAGCAGGAACATTAATAATTACAGAGAAAGAAATGGAAAATGGATTCAAAATGCAAGGTCTGCAATTAGTGGAAATCTAAATAATACACATCTTTGGGATGAAATGGTTTAAATGTAATTCTCACTCATTGTGAAGTCAGTGAGTTTCTTTTTAAAAAAAAAAAAACTTCTTGGGCTCTTTGTGCTTTCAGATCCATTCTTTATTGAGGTGGGTTCATTTCGAGAGATCTTAATTTGAGTTCAAACCGCAGAGAACAGAAGGCGGCACTTAAATTCCCTGCGGTCTGTGGGAGCGAGCGCAACAGCCAGAGTATATGTAATAACGTGTTCTTGTTAAATATTACATAGGTTGAAGCAAAAACCTGGACCGATACATGTGGTGCATCAAAGCAAAGTTTTCAGAAAAACTTAGTTTGGTTTAGAAATGTTGGACTACACTTAGTCCTATTTTACCTGTTTGAAACTTTTGTTGCAGTTGCATTTCAAAAGGTATCTTCTTATAGAAGTGAACAATTCTACAACTCAAATGTAATTTGTGTAATTATTTTTCTTCACGAAGCTTAAATCCCAATCACAGCTGAGCCCAAGATGGATCACACTTCAAGAAGACTTAGTTTCTAAATTGTTTTCACTCACTCAACCAGGACGTTTGTTGTTGAATAGAAATCAGACAAGCGTCAAGTCAAAAGAAAAATGTCTGCAAAAGGAGAAGGTTATTTAGATGTATAACTGGACGTAAAATTCTTTGTGATTATTGATAACAGAAAATATGTGTTACAAACAAAAGGCTACATGTGGTGATCTTGTTTAAGCCACTGCTGAGCCCTGGAAGAACCAATCAGGAAAACCTTGAAGCTTTACCCGAAAAAAATTGAAATCAACTTTACCCTTTATCATGAATACTGTGGCCATAAATGCAACGCCGTATAATTGAAAGCATGACTTCGTTTAAAAACACATTTAGACAGTGAATGTGGAAACAAGCAAACTCAATCTGAGAGGAATGTACACAAACTGAATGCCACATTTATTCATCGAAGAGTGAATTGGACTTTGAATAGCTGGTTGAAAATTGAGGCAATGTCGCTGTGAAACTGGAGTGCAAACTGCCATAAACTAATTCATAAAAAGTTCAAATTAGCCAATGGCTCGCTTAAGGTTGGGGGAAAATGCAAAAGAAAAAAGGAATCAAGACAAATTAAACATTATGACGACTTTGTCAGTGAAGTTTAGTTGAAACCACTTAAACGTGATGCCAAATCTTCATCATACTAGATGGTTTATACTTTTTTTCTATTCATGGATAAAACCCAAATGATGTTTGTTGATAATCTGAAAATCAAAGAACAGCAAACCAGCACAGAATGTTTCCAGGTCAAACATAAAAACATTATAAAAATATTAATTAATCAATTATTCTCCTGAAATTAACTTTTAATGTGTATCCATTATATGTTCATCCATCCATTCATTATCTTACACGCTTATTCCTGGTGGGGGTCTCCAGGGTTCACCAGGCGTGAGGTGGGGTACGTTCTGGACAGGTCGCCAGTCCATCCCAGTTCTTCATGTGTAATTACCAAAATATTAAGAAGTTCCATAAAAGTGACCTGTGTGTCCCACAAGCTGCTCTGAACACATGTTGCAAACTGTCACCCATCCTACCAAGTTTCAACAGGTAAAAAGATTCAAAGTGGTATCAGCTTCCAACAAAAGAAAACAAACATAAAACATAGAATTTTTCATGTTTAATAGATTTTTTTTTAAATTGTATGTAACAGTTTGACCTAATTTGATCTTCAAAGCAGCTCATCCATCAAACACAGCACACTAGGTGTGAAGCCTGCGCCCCCTCTGCCCACATTCCTATTGTTTCAGCTCTGCTGAGTGGAGGTAGATGCCGCTCACCAGCAATGTCTCTGTGGATTAAACTGGAGCATTTCTATATAAAGCTGAAACCAGTCAGGCAGACCAGAGCGCTGCCATTCAGGACGCTCCTCAGAGTTGAACCAAGATTCAACAGAGAGACCGTGTTGGGTTTTGTACGCTTGTTCTCTTCTTTAATTAATTTCACAAGAGCACATTGCACTATCCCAGAACATAGGTTGTATCTGCAGACTGATTTAAATGGTGGAACAGCACAGCAGATGCCTCTTGTTTGTAAAGAAAGCCAAGAACAAAGATACATTATTCAATGTTTCCCAAGAAGGAGAATCTGTAAAGGCTGTAAAATATTTCATGATTACACTGGCGGCAGAGACAAGCTTTTGTGTGAAACAAAAGTAAAAAGAAACAAACTTTGTCTTGTACTGGAATTTTTTATGACATTCTAGATGATTACTATTTAACGTGCGGACAAAATCATGACAACTTAATACATTTGCGTAAAAAGATTAAATGCAAACAATAAATGTGTTCGCTATGAGCAGAGGTGTTGTGGACGTTCAGATCTTCACCTCTGACTGGCCTGGTTGGCATGTGGTAACGGCTGGCTGCTTCATCGCAGTTGACATCACCTGAATGAGGCAACACCCTGGTTGCTGCAGCAAAGAGGGCAACGGCAACAGTGATTCAGTCTCTGGTTTCCTGTCAGAAATCCAGGTTTTTGGTGCCGGAAGCGCCGGAGCCACAGGCAGAAGCCACTCCGACAGGCTCCCCCCTGCTGACACGACTCACCGTCTCGGACAAGTCCGGAGGCAAATGCAGTCGCTGGGAGAGAGATGCAGGGAGAAACGGAGCGTTAGAGCAAAAACAGTAGCAGTACAGTAGATCAGCATACAGTAGGTGGTACACTCCAGTGGTGCTTATTCACAGAGAGCCATGTTGGGTTGAAATTGCATTAGATGCTTCAGCACTTCCTTTAACACTGGCAGCATTGAGGAAATCTGCTACCTTGCTGCTAAATGCTTCAGAGAGCTTTAGGTCTGTTACACCTCACAGCCATAAAACTGGATGTGTACCAGTGTGTCAGATTTTATAGAACAAAAAAAGATAAACAGTAAAAAACAGGAGAGACAGGAGAAATGTGTAATCTGGCATTAAAGGACTCATCTGATAAAAACCCAGATGGCTTTTTTGTGCTGGTAATGTTTGCTTTGTATTTAAAACGGATAATTCTGTTGAGATCATGCCAAAGTTACAATCAGGCAACAGGTTTTCTTTAGTTAATAACATCAGGGGGTTGAGGAGGTACACTTATTTAAAGCATACAGTGGAAGGGCCACACGTCCAAGCTCTCACCAGAATGAAGTAGAAAGGCTGTCAACGGACCACAGCGAACAGAGTCCTGAAGGGCCCTTGAATGCCTGAAAGGAGGTGAAGTATCTTCCAAGTCAAGTGTGCCCCTCTCGTACCCGCCCCTCCCCCGACAATGGTGTTGAGTAGCACGTTGCTCGAGTGTCTGTCAAGGAAGTTAAATCAGAACGCTGCCATTCTTTGGGACAAGAGAGGTTAAACCCTGTAATTTGCCCTGAAAGAATCTGCTATGACATCTGAAACCCTCTGGTCAAAGCCTGCGCTCTCTCCCACCCAATCCCAATCAGCTAAAGCTTCCCTGCCCGCCACATCCGCATCCCCTCCAGACATCCAGCTTTACAGGAGAGCCCTTCCACTCCCAAAGACTCTTATCTTTATTCTAAACGACTAGGTGTTTGGGTACAGGGTGTAGAAGAGTTTTACTAAGAGATAAATCACAACCACGTAATGTTCTTCACCCCTTTAGGGTATGCAACTTCCACCCACTATTCAGTTTTGCTTTTGGAAACACCTGAGTTTGTTGTACTATCACTGATGCTGTTGTCTGATAAGAAGGCCTGAGTTCCTAGTGATGACATTAAACAATTTAGAGATGCTCAAATGTTGCTTTTCTTAAACTACAGCATGTTTTGGGGAAAAAAAAAAGACAAGCTGTCATCTTTGTGTGATTCGGTGTGAACTTAACTTCTGTAATGCCTCTGAGTTGTCCAGAAAGGTAGTTGAACTCCTAAAAGGTAATTTTATATAAAGGGTAACAATCCTTTCAGCTTGAGGATCTGATGAAGCTATGACAGATGGATGAAGAAAAAAATACACTGAGCAATAGGCAGCTTGGATTAAAGTATACAAAGACCAAACACTTGGAGTTCACCCATATATACTCTGACACATCGCTTCCATACTCAAATTTTTACACATTTTTCTTTAACTTTTATAAGTTTTCTGGAGATTTGAGTAAAATATAATTATTATGATTTTGTTTGCATCTTATTATTACCACAAATAATTATACAATGCTGAAATTAGCCTTAATTATTTTAAGAGTGGAGTTATTTATTTATTTGCTTTTGTGGCATCAGGGACAAATTTGGATCAGGTCTCCATGAAAAACCTCGAACTCGTGAAACTAAAATTGAGTTTCTTAGAATAAATGCAAATTCCTCAAGACATAATGTATGTTTACATTATATACAAATTTACCAAAAATATTATTTACTTTTCTGTTTAATAACGAAAGTTCATTTGGACTTGAAATTAAAACTCTCTAGAGACCAGCGCTCTGCATTGAGCCCACTAAAAACCTCCTGGTTATTCAACCAAATATTGATTTCTGAACTCTTCCTGAGTTGAAACATTAGTGTTGTTGTCTGTAAATTAATATAAATTTGTCTTCTTTTCATTATTTGAGGTCTGAAAGCACTGCATCTTTCTTTATTTTGACAATTTCTCATTTTCTGCACAAAAATAAAAAAAATTCTTTGAATTTTGGATATTTTTGTCAGTAGTTCATTGAATAAATTGTGAACTACTGAGTGAAATGTTCATTTAACTCAAACATATAGCTATAAAAAGTAAAATAAGATACACTGATTATTTTAAGTGATCTCTTATTTTGTTCCAGAGCTGTATAAGCAAAGAGAGGGGTTTAATTTGGGTTTTGTTTTTTTTGAGAAATGTTTTGTAGGGTTAGCAGATGGAATAAGATAATGTATATTTTTTGCCAAAGTAGCTCAGAGATTTGGAGACAACCTGTAATTTATCTCAAGGAAAAGGCAACAAGTGTAAGCCAAAAAATATGAAGATCTTACAAAGACAAAGTTTGACTATGATCTTCCCATCAACTTCATTCCAAATGCGCACAAACGTCTATGGAGTCATCTGGAAGCCCTGCTTTGCTTCTATCCCTGCCAACCCTCACCTGGGTAACCTTTCGTGTCTTCAGCTCACTCGAGTGTGATTGAAAAAGAAAAACAATGCATTGATCAAGCCTGGACTCAGTCCTGCTTAGTGCACTGCAGCAGAAACATGGCACAGAGAGGAATGGGGGGAAAAAAAAAAAATCAATCACATATACATCACCCTCACTGGGTGAGTTAAAAAATAAATAAAGAAAAAAAACACTGCTGTCTCTCTGCCACGGGCCTGCCTCTCTTTGGCTCTGGGCTTTGAGAACCCACTGAGCATGTGCAGAGGGAAGGTCAAACCAATCCAGAAGTGAAGCTCCGCTCCTCTAACCTTTGAGTTCAGGGGCAGAGGGGAACAATCAATGGCAACATCAAAGTTGGAGGGAGGAGCAGACAAAACCAATCGATCGGTTTGGCACACTGAGGGAACAGGGAGCCTTGCTACAGTCAAAAACCATCACATACATCACTGGCAGCCGATGTTATTATTATCAGAGATATGAGAACTTATTTTACACTCCCTTCCAATCCAGGTGCATGAATTTCAACACCAGGGAACATGAACAAATTAGCATCATCGTGTTAAGATGTTAATACCAAAACCTGGAAGCATTTCTAACAGAACTCCACATTCCAAAAGATATAGATCCAAAAGACATAGATGAATGGGGTTCAGCAAAAGGCTCAGAAAGACTTTGGTTAGAGACTCTAAGTCGGCTTTCCTGTGACTTGCACGCTCCATGATGTAAACAAGGACATCCGGAAAACCCTCAGAGGCATAGCGGGGTGGATGTTTGTGTGAGATCTTTTCTCTGCTGCCTGGCAACCTTAGTGAGGGTGGAGAAAGAAGGGAGAGAAAAAATGAGTTGGGGGTGGTGGCGGGGCGATGGTGGGTGTCAGATGGGAGTGGACGGCGGGAATAAGGACCACTGGTTGTGCTGCATTGATTGAAAGCATGGGTGGGGTGGGGGAAGAGAATGTGAAAATGGATGTGTGCCACAATCTTAGTGTGATTGTGTATGTGATGTCACTGCTGCCTCACCGGCGGTGGTCAGGGGTATTTCAGCTCTGCTCCCGGCCAGAGGGGTTCGAGCCATGCTGGCAACAGGGCGAGGGGCGACAAAGCTCCAAACGAGCGCTAAGCACTTCATATGAGCCTCGAGGGCCGGCCCACAGACTAGCTTAGCCTAAGAGGGTTACTGATATCTACAACATGCAATACTTTAAGAGCATCAAGCATAATCATTTGGTACATACAACAAATCATTATGCTGGTTTTTGATATAGCTTTGTTTTTAATTATGCACGACTTATGGGGCAACGAAGGTATAATATTCAGCTATTTTTCCAACATGGAGCTTCAAAGGAGAATAAAACTCAACACCATCAAAGGCATTCCTCTGATGCTAACTGGCTGCTAATGAATGGAGTATTAGGTGCTAATTTAACGAGTCATTTCTTCCATGGAGTTTTGGCCACACTTTCAAATGGCCTGTGTCACTGTACAGCTTAGAAGTATGGGAAACCCAACACCTTGTTGGAACACATGACCACCGCCGTGGCTGTTCCAATCAGATTAGCCGTGGGTGGAACATGCACATGGAAGTGACACATTTACCTTCAATGCCACTAACACAATCCCTGCTGAGATGCATACACTATTTCCATAAGCTCCACTGAGTGAGTGACAAAAGAGTTGGTAGATTTACACTAGAAATCGTGGGTAAGCAGTTTGGCTCTAAGGTGCGATAAATAAAAAGAGAAACGCCTGATGCTGCCCTGATGTAGAGCGACACAAAGTACAGAATCCTAAGCAGCTTGATTTTGCCATTTCTGCTTCCCTGAGTGGCACAGCTGCAGCGCAGCTACTGTAAACTAATATGTCTGACCCTGACATTGGGCCAGCGTCCTCTATTTCAAGCCCCATTTCTACAACCAGCTAAGGGTCAAAACAGCAGCAGAACGTTTCATGGCTAAAAACTGGGTAGATATTTCCCAGACTTGCCTCTCTGTTCATCCGCTAAACCAGCTAAATCACCTCCACAGAACCATAATCTCCTCACACCTCTAAAGTTACACTGCATTGTGTGGGAAATCATTTGCTGAATCTATAGAGACCCACATCGGCGTCTCATCCACTGTGACACACAACATAATGAGGTAATGTGATTGTTTATTTAAGACACAAACTATCATTGAATTTATGCTGGCAAATTCAGAAGATACTTCTGCTACCCTGGTTGAAAAAAAACCCCCAAAACTTTGGACAAATCCCATCACTTCTCTGTAGTAATTCTAACCCACCTGCACTGAACAAAGACTCAGAAAAACTCTTTGTGGCAACAAAGAGTGAAACACGACCCTCAGCTGCAGCCAGAGAAAAAACCTGTTTATTCGAAAGGTCTTTCTAATTCACACTTCAGTTTAAACGTTCTTTCTGCAATTCACCTCTCATCATTTATTTAAGCGTTTTTCGTTAAGTTATTTCTAACATTTTCCCAGGAGAGCTGTTTGTATTGTATGCTTCAAATACAGTGGAAGCACTTTAAA